TTTTTTTTTTTTTTACTTTACTCATTTACAGATTCATTTCCACACCGAGGGCATAGAGAGTTTATTTGAACATGTCCCGCGCGATTTATTGCCCAACGAATATGGCGGCAAAGCGGGTACAGTATTTGAATTGAAACAGAAATGGACAGAGGAATTGTCAATTAAGAGGTGAGCAAGAAATAATTTATGTAAACAATACTGCAGACAGTTTACTTAATACTTTAAATTTAATTTTTTTAGGAGTTATTTAATGGATCCGAAGCACTGGAAAACGGAACAAAGTCAAAACTCGCGCCGTTGGTATTGGTTTTAGCGATTTTACGAATTTACTTACCACACATGTATAGTACTTGTGTACATGCATGCATATGACCAGCGTATGTTAGTAAATATTTATATTTTACAGTTTTACATGATGTGTTAAAAGAGCAACTTATGACGTATGTAATTATGTGATAGTATGTGACTAAAATGAGTTCTTGGGTTTTTATATATAAAATAGATTAAAGGGTTGAGATGTTACTATAGTGCTGGGTAACGCACCAAGGTGTTGCAGGTGCAGAAGTGTACGGGAACGCAAAAAGCACTACTTCCTTCAAAAACGTCAGTCGGTTTGTTTACATGCCATTGGTACAACACTGATTTGGCTGAAAGATCACTAAATAATTATTAAAATCTATACAATTAAGAATAATTACGTACATATTCAAATATTTCGTGGCTTACTTCCATTTTTTAACAAACGCAAGGTTCTTTGCTTTCATCGCGTTCTGTTTTTGTTTACAAATACAACCCTGCCCATTGTTTGACACTTTTCATAAACTTACAGGAAGAAAAACTCCGGAATAAATGCTGTAACTTCTGACTAGGTACAGTTGCTCAGTTACTCTCTCAAAAGTGTTCCCACTTACAGGTTTTATGTCTATAGGAACGACTTCCTGTAAGTTCTGACTAAATCCTTTAAACCGGACTGCTATTGGAACAGACTTAAGCTAAATATACACGGTAGAGAAATCTTGCTAGAGTTTTACTGTAATAAAAATCTCTTCTCTCAATTAAGTTTACACGGTAGAGCAACTCTATGAGATATTCACTCAAGCTAAAGTCAAAATAGAGAAATCTCAAGTTTTCGCTATCACGTATTCTAACGCTGTGTACACGGTAGACACCTGTTACCTCACGCCTAGGGTTAGTTTTCTATCTCGAATTGGTGTTAACGCGTGGTGTATGTATATATGTATATCAGCGCTGCGATGTAGAAAATAAATCCGCGGACCGCTAACCCTTCGTCGATTTGACAGCATTCGTCTATTGACGTCATAAAATAATTTTTTCGTCAATTAAATTTTCAAATTGTACTTCTTTGCCGAAAAAATTTTACCTTAAAGTAGATAAATGTACCTAAAGATTAAATATGTTTTTTATGTGTATAAATTTTTGATAGTGGGTAGCAACCTCCCTCTTCGGCACTATGTCTACTTTTGGACTTACACCAAACAATATTTTCTATTAAAAATTTCGTTGAAAGCAGTTCCAACCAAAACTATACATGTAGGTATTCACCAAGTTGAGCAAGTGGTCTGGTACTCTGGCAACTGTCGTTGCTTGAGCTAATCTGCTCTTTTGCCAGAGTGCCAGGCCATATGCTCAATTTGGTGAATACCCCTTATGTTTTAACCAATGTGTATGCCCCTTTGCAAAGGAGGGAGGATATTGGAAAAGCCGTTGAAATGCCACTGAAAGTACGAGAAAATGTCCCGATAAGATAGCTGGTTACGTTCTAAATGTACCTAAAATGGTGTTCTTGTACCGAATAAACAATTTAAGGTCGTAGTCATTCCAAAATTTAACAAACTGTGATGAAACTCATTGTCAAGATTTTACCATACTTATCGAACAAAAACTCTATTTAGCTTGCCAAATAAAACGTAGAGTTTTTGTAGAGTTTTCGATTTAGTTGCGGTGAATAACTCTCACGTAGACTGTGTAGGTGAGTCTCTCGTAGAGCTCTATTGAGTGTTTAAATGTCTCTAGCGAGATGTTTGTCTAAATCTCGCGTTTTTTCACTACCGTGTATACTTAGCTTAATAGCATACAGAACAATGGTTGATCGCACTGCAAAACAGTCTAATTTTTGGTTTTTAGAATAATTTTCTGAAAATTCACTCAAACGACACGACATCATTTGAAGATCAAAAGCAAAATCAGGTTGCTTTGTAACTGCAGCTGAAACAAAAGAAGACAGAATGGCGAGACTGCCCTTATCTTTCGCGCCGATACCGGCCATGGCACTTGCTTTTTGGTATCAGCGCCCGAAAATTTGCTGCGTTACCCAAAACTGTTGCCGCATGATACATTCATATACACATGTATGTCTAATATTTATGTTAAAAATTGTGTTTTAAACGGGGACCGAAAATAATTATTAAATACCAAAATTTTTATTTTTAGATCATTGCAGAATCGCTCTGAATCCTTTATAATCTAAAAATTTTGTTATGTAAATAACGGTTATAAGTAGTATATTTAATTTATCCTGAAAAATAAAAACCCAATTGGGGTGTTTAAATCTAGTAAAACTGTCAAAAACTAAGAATACTGAAAAGTACGGGATCGCTTTCTACTAAAAAAGGGTAACTTCTGACAACGTCAACATAACCTCAAAATTTTGTTTGTAAAATGTTGCTTATTTCGTATGTAAACACACTCAGCTCACATTGCAATGCATTAACATACATTACAATTTGGTTGTCAAACACACTACAGCTGGACGTTTGACACATTTACCAGAATTTACTAGCAAAAAATCTTCGGCGTAAAACTGGTAGATGCCAGAGAACAGAGTTCGGGATCGATTTCCAGTAAAATCTGAAAAATTCTGTAAAAAATGGTAAGTTCGGACTCATACGGGATCACAACTTATGATTTTTATTATAAAGATCAGCTGCATTTTTTCGTAAGCGAGCGACAATAGAACGCTCAACTCGGGTAAAATTTCCTTTTAGCTACTTAAGCAACCCTGTTAGTAGCTGGTAACAAACCTGTGATTAGTTTAACGGGATTTAAATACAAAAACCAATTTAAATGAGTAATTATGCGAGGTATTTGCGTAATATATATACTTATTTAAAGTATAAGTCACGTATATAAGGAAACAAAAATTTGCATCTCGACTTTCCCATTAACAATTTACAATAGATCAATTTTTTCACTTAACAACACTACCCTTCAGGTCGCGTATTTTTTAACCAACCTGGCTGAGCTCGGATAAGTAGCCGAGTTCGTGTTGTTGCTTTGCGTGTATTTGAGTAGTCCACTTGCAAACAGCGCACATAGATAGATTTTCAAGTTTTATGCGGCAAAAAATATTTTATTGCCTCTATCTACTCAAAATTGTTTATTAAATGTAAAATTGAAATAATTTGTATTACAGATAGGTTATATTAATAAAATATATATATTAGCCAATAATTTACTATTTAAAATATATTGACTACCTTTATTTATAAAATGTGTGTACCCTATAATGCACAATATATAAACCAAAATCATTGCTTTATTATTTTTTGTTTCTAGCAGTAGACGGAATTTCGCAACGTTCCGAATAAATAAAAAAAGATTTTCCGTACGTTTCCAAGGCAGTAAAAAAATACGTATAATTCTCGTCAAGAAATTGATATCATAAATTTTGTGTTTCTAGTTNCTTTATTATTTTTTGTTTCTAGCAGTAGACGGAATTTCGCAACGTTCCGAATAAATAAAAAAAGATTTTCCGTACGTTTCCAAGGCAGTAAAAAAATACGTATAATTCTCGTCAAGAAATTGATATCATAAATTTTGTGTTTCTAGTTCAGCTTTCGGCACTCGAAAATTTTACCTCAAAGAGGTGTTTTATTTGATTTAATTTAGAGGTTAAAAATAATATTGGAAACCATATCTAGTGGCTACGAAATTGGTTCTACAAAATACGACGAATATGCATTGGACACCGGCAAATTACTTCGATGGACGGACAGAGCGAAAGTGTCTTGAATTAGAAGCTCAAACGTCCCATTTAACCAAGACTGATTAGCTTTTAGGAAAATATCTTCCTTTCTATGAGCTTTAAGCCACTTTTTCATAAGTGTTGCTTTGAAATAAGATAGGTTTTTCTTTCAATTTTTCATATTTTCAGCTCAGTAAGCATGAGAAGACAATAGGTGATTTTCTAAGAAATCTAATTTTTCGACCAACGATGCCAAGTTCTCTCCTTGCATTTGATCGCCACGACGAGCTGTCACCACCTACATTAACCAAAATGTGCCTTAGAATTGAAAACAATACAACTCTTTTTTTATTGTAACTTTCGTACAAGCGTGTAAGAAA